TTCTGTCTCCTGGGGGAGTCTGCAGTCCTCCCTCCTCCTCATCACCTCTCTCCATCCCTCTTCCATGGGCAGTGCACTGTTACATGAGGCAGGAAAAAGAATGGCATAACTAAGGGCACTTGTGTTTTCAGAGATGAGGGGAGAGAGCAGAAAATGGGGTCTCTCCTCCCAATTCTGTGATCTGCAGAGAGGAAACTGAGCACTGCTGGTGTATCATATCACAGGTGGTGCCAATCAGTTAGTCCAAGAGCAATTACTTTCATTCAAATGTCAGCGTGTAAAGAAGAAACAAACAGAAGGCACATCACCGCTCTGGAGGCAATGATGACTAACCCCCTATTTCACCCCTGAGAGCAGGGGGTGATCTGAAAGTGCCTTGTAGAGACAATGTCACTTCAGTTTTCAGGGTGGCATTTCATAACTGAGTTAATGCACACTTTGAACACTGCATCCTCATTCCTTTTTTACAAAAGGGTAAGATGCAGTGAATGGCCTTCATGCAGCTGGTCATGAAGCTGAGCTACTGGCCTCCCTGTCTTGCCCAGCTCTGTAAGTGACCATTTCCCTGGGAGACATGGTGGTCTGATGGGCAATGATCCTGTCACAGCCTCAGGACAGCTCTGACGCTTCAGGATACAGGCAGCAGAATTGTGTGATCACAGGTTGCAAGATCCCTCTAGATACTGTATAGAATCGATGAGACCAACCTAACCTACCCCCTCCCAAAGGGTCAGGTGCCAGTGACCTTAAAGATCTCCAGAACTTTGTAAATGCTCATGTATAGGAGACTTCACTATATTTTCAGATATACTAAATCATTGCTGTTGAGTTGATTCCAACTCACAGCGACCCTACAGGACAGAGCAGAACTGCCCTATAGGGTTTCCAAGAAGCGGCTGGTGGATTCGAACTGCCAAGCTTTTGATTAGCAGCTAGAGCTCTTAATCACTGTGCCACCAGGGCTCCTTCAGATATACTACAGGGACTAAAATCCAAGGAAAAACAGCTTTCTTTCAGAGATGGCTTGGCTCAGGGCAAAACTACATGACCATGAAGCTGGCGGTGAGGACTCCGGTGAGAAAAGCACCAGCTAAGTTACTGCCTGCATCTTGGCCTGTTTAGCTGACAAATGGGGATGAAAAGTCTCTCTCACAATAAATTTGAGAAAACAAAGAAAACAACATATGAAAAATGATTTGACTTTTTCCTCAGGAGTTCTTTATTAGTTCAATTAGCTTTTCATTATAATTGTTATAGAAAAATAAATAGCTTACTATTCTAACATTCCAAAAGCTCGCTGTCTGGATGAAATAATTCCCATTTTAATGAATTAAGAGCCCCAAAATAAGAGCAGTGGGTTGATTCCACTCAAGAGGGTTAAAGTACTTTATATTATTAAAGGTTACTAAGTTCCGAGGTTAACGGTCAGAAAAAACACAAAGAGACCCACATATTCCCAAAGAGAAGGAAACCCAACAGGCTTCACTCCAACCATTCTACGCAGGGAATTAGAGCTTACAGAACACAAAACGAAAAACGAGCAGTCACACCCTGTTAAGCAAACCCACATGCACAGGGTCAATTCAACCAACATTCACCAAGTGCCTGCTCCAAGCCAGGCTCCATCCTGGGTGCCCTGGGACACATGCTGGGCAGCCTACCACGGTGAGACACACACTTTCAAGTGACCTGGAATCTAGGGCTGATTGTGAGAAGAGTCACAACCTGTGAGGAAAACTCAGAGGACAGAGGGGCCTGCTACCTGGGGATGGGTGGTGAGGAGGGGGTGATGGAGCTGGCCCTGGTGGGTGGGGAGGAGAGTCACACAGAAGCTGGAGAAAGAGGGCTGAGAGAGGGAAGGCTCTGGGGAGCAGCTTTGGTGCACAGGCTCTGGCTGTGTCTGAAGACCAGAGCATTTGTGAGGAGGAAAAATGTGCCCTTGGCTATTCACCTGTCTCTGCTCCACCTACCCTAAGCCTGCTGAGCACTTCAGTGGGGACTATTACTCCATTTTCTACACCAACGCCTCCACTGACCTCAAGCTAACACAGGAGTTGAAAACGCAGCTCTAAGGTGCAGCAGGAAAAGGGCATGGCCCACTTACTGACTGTGCATCTTTAAGATGAGATTTTGCTTGGGGAAGCAGCCTTTGTAGAAATGCCTGAGTCACTGTTTACCTTGTGGTTGAGAGGCCTATGACAGAGGTTTGCCAGATTTAAAAGCAAGGGTCCTGCCCAGAAACCCTGGTGACTGCGACCCACTGAGAGGCTGAAGAGCGGATACTTACCTGTTTGCCCTGCACTAACACATTGGTAATGGATGGGGCCAGGCTGTCCACTACTTTACTTAAAAGGCTCGCTGCATGGCGTACGGCCGACCTGGGGGCAAAGAGAGAGCAGGGCAGGTGTTCACAAATCTATAAGATGCTGTACCGGGCCCCTGACCGGGGATCTGAAAAATATTCATGGTTGGGTCCTCACGTATGTACTTGGAAGGAATACCGAGCCCAAGACAGCTGGGAGAAAGAGCTGAAATTTCTCAGACTGTGGGCCATTCAGAATGAGGGAGAAACCCCTCACTCTTACCTCTGTCACCAGGCTGTGCCAAAAAGCACCATTTGTGCCATTACTGATTTAAAAAGAAAGAGAAAGGAGCCTAATCAGTCCTTCAATGGGAGCTGGGGCTGCGGGAGTTAAGAGGATATTCTGATTTTGCTTTAATGAATTCATTATTAAGTCTGTCACTGGTATATGTCATCTATTCCTATACCCACATTACATTATGGATCGAATGATTTTGTGTACAGATAGCCAAATCCTTGGATTAGGGGACTCACTTAGTGGTGAATTTTAGGCGATGCTACAATGAAATACCAGTAATGTTTTTCTTGATAAAGCCAGAATACTGGGGGAAGGAATTCACACTGTTATTTTTACATTTCTGAACCAGTCTTTAGAATGTAGACAGAGACTTTTTTTTTAAAGCACTGCACATGCAATACATACGACATTTCTAATTTTTTTACTCAAAAGTAAAAATTGATGTGGAACTTTTGGATAGAGAAAATAAGCCAAAGATGTAGTTTAAAACTGGCTGCAATTTTCTTGTATTTCAGGACAGAAGCTGACCTATAAAAAACATTTATATTCCTTAATCTCAACACAGAATGAACTAGCAGACAAGTCAATACTGATAAGGTTAGTGAAACAAACATTTCCTACCGATTTCTAGAGAAGCTTTCACCCACACACTATAAAGTCAAAAGATATGTTTAACCCTCAGAATGCAAGTAAGACCACACATTTCAAGCAGCTTGAGTTTCCAAATTCTGTGCATGTTACCTGTTTCCCATGTACCAGAAAAGTAGTAATGTGTGGGGCTATAGAGGAAGAAAATTTCTGGGTAAATGCAGCCCCGTAGCGTACTGCCAACCTGGGTGTGCCAGGAGAAAGCCACAAAAGGGAAAATACAGTAAATACAACTTCCAAGAGTTTGTTGTTTTAGATGTAACAGTCAGCATTCTAAATGTCTGCTAGTTAATGAGTTATCTGAAATGCAAGTATTACACGTAAAGCAAGAACTTATTTTTCGCTTAGCCAAAAACTGGTCTGTAGACCACAGCTGAAACTTAGTGCCTTAAAAAATACTGGCTTACATGCCTTGCTGGGTGGAGAATATTTACAGTAAAAAATGGAGAGATGTAACCGGGGATCATTGCCTTATTTCTCCCATGTAGGAATGCTATATTTATTTAAAAAATATGGAGTTGAAATACTACTTAAGAGACTGTCTAACCCCCTAAATTTAGAGATTAGAAACCTGGGGCTCATTGAGGTTAAGGGAGTTTCTTATTATATTGCTTGAGATTTTTTTCAGAATTTGTTACGATTCTAATAAAATTGTTAGAATCACTTCAAAATGACGAGTACCGTGCATTTAAACATACCTAACTCCGTTGCAAATTTAAACAATTTTTATCTCTACTTACCTATTTTTTTTTTTTAATCCCTGGGAAGAGACTACCTCTGCAGAACAAGTTATTTAGTTTTCATGAAGCAACTACAATCACTTGGGACTCATTCACAGCAAGAGATGGAAGAATTGCTTTCTAAGCATATTATTTTTACATATGATACAGGTTTCCGGGATACAAATTAGAATCTAAGGCACGTTGTTGGGACAGAGACGCTGCAGGGTAGCACACACTCATTAAGCATATATCCCAGTGAACACTGTCTGGGTTCTATCCCTGTGGAGGTCTTTACTGCCACTTTTTTTTGTTTTTAATATCTTAGAAGAGCTATGCTACAATGGACTGTAGGCAGATCCTTAGAAAAAGGCAGAGTCACAGTGCTGTAAGCTTGGAGTTCCAAAGGGAAAACAATCATCTTCAAGACTGGTCCATTATCTTGAGGCTACTGAATATGAAGACATAAAAATAAAACATAATGACAAGGACACGAATACGAACCAAAGCTTTTTGCTGCCAGCTTTTCTATAGATTCTCTCAATGTGATCAGAAACGGTACCTAGACATGGGACAACAAGAGTCTTTGTTGAAGAAAGCTCTTAATTAAATGCATGCCATTTATTCCCCTTTAAAAAATAGAAAAAAACACTCTTGAATTTTCCTTTTGTTCTACTAGAGTGAAGATATCCATCCATTAATGTTCTGAACTACCTGACCTACTTAAACACAGAATCCAAATATATAAAGTGTGAAAGTCCTCAGCACTTGCTAATATCTAGTCTTAGTCTGATTTTGGTGAGTACTTTATTTCTTGAAATTCAATTGTTTTCCTTATTAATATGCAATCTAAGCTTTAAACAAATAAGTTTTTGTAATTTACTGCAGGGAATAAAAAATGAGAATACAGTAAACTGATCAACAAATTGAACAAATACTGTCGACTCTGAACATGTACAGTTATTCACTTGCTCAACAAAACACAGACTCCTGGGTGCGTGCACGAAGCTATGATGGCTCCGACGTGCACTAGAGCTCAAAAGCCACCCCTGGACTGCATTCTGCAACCGACATGGGATCTGACCCGACTGCTTTTGCCAGTGACTCAAACGTGTGACACTCAAAAGGAAACAAAGGGAAAGAACAAGATCTACAATGTTTTACCCTGAACTTCTTTTTTCAGCCTTATAATACATTGAATAAAATTATACTTAGATTCAAGATACTTATGATCTTCAGTACGTTTTACAAATTTAAAAAATTTAAAGTCTTTCAAATAGCCAAGTAAAATATGAACACTATTCCTAAGTTTATAAAAATTGTTTAAAAAAAATTTTCCTCAATATTTTCATTATAAACTATACAAAAAGCACTACTAAAATAACCATTCTGATTTCTAGGTTCCCGATGAAATGTTCGATTTTAAAACATTATTTTGTTTTAGATGAAGTTCAAATATGAAAGAATGTCCCCCATGTAACTGGAATTATGCTTATAGTTTCAAGACCAGTTAGAAACATGAGGGATTCTGTTGGAAATCTGCATACAGTTTCTCTGCCTTTAACCAGCCAAGACATTTAAGACTGTTGAGTTCATGTGTACACCATTTGAGGAGGCTATCTCTTAGCTGCAATGATGCAAAAAGTAAGCAGACCTCATTTGAATAAATAAACAAATTTCGTTCATCCCCAGAACTATAAATCTTCTTAATTACACTGCTACTTTCAGTTCTAACCAAATCAACATGCTTCTCTGGACAGAGGACTTTCCGATGAGCCAAACACTTTCAGTAGCTAGACACTTAGTTCTTGAAGTGTATTCTAATTTTTCTGTATTATAACATGCCAGAAGCAGACCATGAGCTAAAACTCAAGGATTCCTTACAGTAGTGACTCAACATACAAGGGTGTGGATTTCAGGGATAATTCAGTCTCATCCTTAATGCAGGGTGGACATGGACATGACCAGAAATGATTTATTTTTATTAACCACCTTTAGAGAAAAATCCCATTAAATACCATGATCTATCCCAAACGGCTGCTGCAGACCACAAGGAGCTACTTTTTATAGACTAACAATTCAGGATCATTCTAGAAAGATTACGGAAAATACAACTGGAAACAAACTGTCAGTGAACAACTACGGAGCCATCAGAGGTTAACAGTCACAGGCAGCAACCAGGCTCCAACACCGTTCAGACAATCAGAGCAGCAATCAGGCATCACCGCATGAAGGCAATTTAGGAGTTCAGACACTGAACAGCCTACTCCACTACAAATGAACATTTCCCATTTAACAGCGGAGAAGGAAATAACTGGTAACATTTTAGTAGATATTCATTATGTATATCTGATACATGCTTAAGAACAGAGAGATCCTGTTATTCAGAATGTTCTCCAGGATACGTGCTCTTACCTTCCTTTGTGATAAAGCTGGGACCTTCTCTTTTGAGCAGTATACCCAGCAGGATGGCTTCGCTAGCCAGACAATTGCAGTCCTGAAAATACAAATCCCCGTGAGTAACTGGAAAGAAATGGGTACGAGAGGTACCACAGGGGGCAGCTAATCACAAAACCATACGATGCGGACAGGCAATATTCTGAAGTGAAATTCAGGAATGATAAAATGTCACTGGTGTTATAAAAGATGACATTATACAACTAATTAATTAGATATAGACAGAAGGCAGACAAGCTGGCTTACTGGGGTAGTAGGATTTAATAATCAAATTTCCTGGGAAACAAGATAAGCAATACACAGGAAGTGTTTTGTCTGTAAGCATTAAGCCTGATTCTGCCACACTCTGAGTGACTTGGCTAGGTGATTTAACCACTCACTCCCTTGTTAACTTTACTTACTGGTAAATGGGAAGACCATGTTGCTATCAACCTGTTGTGAAGTAGTGAATGAGTGGAGGAGACATGTATAGAGTGCGTATTATATATTAGGGCATTGTGCTACATGCTTTATGCCTGTTATATCTTATTCATGCTTTTATGTATCTACATAACATTGATCAATAACAAGGACTGATATGTCTGGCAGGATATATGTTTAGCCCACATGCTCAAATCTGTGTCCAGCAGGATGTCACAGTGTTTACAGTTCTACCATTAGAATTTCATTTCCTTGGATAAGGACTATACCCTACTCCCACCCCACTTGGATAAGGACTATATCCTACTCCCACCCTCCTTGGATAAGGACTATGCCCTACTCCCACCCTCCTTGGATAAGGACTACGCCTTACTCCCACCCTTCCTCTTTTAAAACATGAATAATCTTAGGAAAGGAAAATATTAACTTGCTATCATATTCATATGGGTGTTGTCACAGGGTTGCATTCTTCAGGGGAGACCTAAAGCAAGCATTAGACCTAAACAATGGGACAAGTGGAGGATCAGGGTTGGGAAAAGGAGAAAGGGCAGTGAAAGGGAAATTTGCAGACCCCATGGCCTATTATGGATTGAACTGTGGCCTCCCTCCTCCCCGCAGATCTGTTGGACTCCTAACCCCCCATAGCTGTGAATGTGACCCTACTTGGAAATAGGGATTTTGCAGATGTAATCAAGTTAAGATGAGGTCACACTGGAGTAGGTGGCCCTAACCCAGTGCGATGGTGTCCTTATAAGAGGAGAAGAGACCCAGGGACCCAGGGGAGACAGCCATGTGTAGATGGAGGTGGGGACTGGAGTGATGCCGAGGATTGCTTCTAAGAGGACAGAGCAGACAGGCCCTCCATCCACCTCCAGGCTGACTGTTACCTTCTAAGACGACAGAGCAGACAGGCCCTCCGTCCACCTCCACGCTGACTGCTACCTTCTAAGAGGACAGAGCAGACAGGCCCTCCGTCCACCTCCACACTGACTGCTACCTTCTAAGAGGACAGAGCAGACAGGCCCTCCATCCACCTCCAC